CCATAGCGATTACACGTAAACGGGAAATGGAATTCTCAAATCCTACTTTGCAAGTGAAATATGAGCATAATCCCAGCATCTGATCGAAAAATAAAAGGCACACGTGCGTTAGCTTATTGTCTCAGCTACAACATATTCGAAGCTCAGCGAAAACTAATCTAAAACAACAGATATTTTTCTTGCGAAAGACAGGAGTGTAGAATCCAGTTTTGAGAAAAAGTCATGTCCCGTAGAGAATACACGCAAAATGTGAAAAATTGACATGCCTCCTTTAATCGCAAAAATACGCCATGATGCCTTTGTCGAAATGAAAAATTGTGGCCACTATATTTGTAGAGAATTGTCTCAGCTAGAACATATCAAAATTTGAAAGAAAATTGATCAATATGTACAGAGATACAATCAATTTTCCAAAAAATATGCTGACATCATAATATGCAAATTGAAATTTTGAGTTTGGAGGCCATTATGATGACGTCATGAGTTAATTGAGGGTCAAAAGAGACATGAAATCATATTTCCGACTCATAATCTATCTAAATATGAAAAAATATTGGGAGTTCCTTAGATAGCAAATAGTCTCAGCTACAACATACTAAAATTTGGGAGAAAACTGTTGAATAACAACCAAGATACTGGTCAAAACACATTGTCATGCAGATTCGTGTTTTGAAAAAAGCGACCTCCCATAGACATAACACGCAAATATGACAAATTATGCATTGTCGCATTTAATCGAATATTTAACTATGATGACGTCATCCAAATGAAAAATAAATTGCATATTTCTGATAGAGAATTATCTCAGCTACAACATATCGAAATCTGGGAGAAAATCGATCACTGATAAGCGAGATAATCTCAATTAAACAAAGACAAAAATGACGTCATCAACAAAATACATTTTCTTTAGTTTAGATGCAAATATGAAGATTTTGTTTCACTTTGTACGAGTCAGGGTGGTATGAAATCATATCTCCAACTCATGCTCTTTCCAACCATGATATAAAAATTGGGGGTCGACGGACTATCTAAAGAGCTATTTCGATTTATAAAGTAGCATGTTTTTGATCAAATTTACATTATATTGCCCATAGCAGCACGCGCGGAATTTGAACTTTGACGCGAGCTCACGGCCTTATGAAAGGTCAAGAGTGACTGAAATTAATGTAAATTGTCATTTACGGTAAGAGGAATCTAAATCATGTAAACAAATTGAATTTGACCTTTTCCGCACGTTGTGAGCGCGCGCACCGCGCGCGGGGACAAGTACGGACGGAAAATTTTGAAATGCTTCAAATGACCTGATTCGTACTCTCCTTTAGTAGTTAAGTGATTTTGAGCAATTTTAAATTTTTCTAAAGTATATGTGATATAAATATGAATGACCTTTGCTTATGCATCATGAAGATATGATGGATAACGTGATTTCACAAAATGGCGCCTGGATGACGTCGCGATATTCTAATGACCTTGAAAATGTTCCTGTCACGTCTCATGACTCAATGTCTCAATGTGGCAAAATTTAATGAAATTAACTAAACCAAACTTGAGTTATCCGGGGCACAAAAAACGGGAAGAAATAAAAATAAAGAATAATAATAAATAAAGAAAATTCTGACGAAATCAATAGGTGGTCTGTTGATAACAGACCACCTAAAAAAAGAAAAAAGAAAATCTTGAAGAAATCAAAAGGTGATACGTAGACTTTGTACGTATCACCTAATAATACCAGCCTCACAGCAAGCATGCAGTGCTAGAGGTCATTACGCATTAGCATTGACTCTCTATGCTTTGCTGGAGTGTGCTAGCCTAGTCTATTCCAGATAGCCTTAAACGAATGAATTTTGTTGGACTTTTAGACCTAGTCCTAATTACCTCCTGAATTCAAAAATACGCCATGAAAATCGATCAATATGAGAGATACAATCAATTTTCCAAAAATATGCTAACTTCATGCAAATTGAAATTTGAGTTTGGAGGCCATTATGATGACGTCATGAGTTATTGACTCTCTATGCTTTGCTGGAGTGGGCTAGCCTAGTCTATTCCAGATAGCCTTAAACGGCTCCCATAGGGTCTCACGGAGAGACATATAAACAACACCTAAAATGTGTCCCAAATCACATTCCCGCACCCGACCAATATTGGACAGTGGCCTTGATGAATTTTGTTGGACTTTTAGACCTAGTCCTAATTACCTCCTGAATTTAAAAATCGGAGGTAAAAATAATGAAATAATTGCAAATTTCTTACCAGAACGATACGGCTTAACTCCCTTTTCACTGGAGCGTGTGACTTTACGATCCCTACACAATGGTGTTGATCTCTGACTGGCACTTTGTAATGTGCTGCTGCCGTATAATGCGCTGAATAACACTCTTACAGCGCATCATACGGAAGCAGCACAATTACGGAAGTGCCAGTCAGAGGTCAACCCCATTGTGTAGCGATCGTAAAGTTAGAGTGTCTGAACGATTTTTCAATTTTCAATTTAGGATCGTTTATCACCATTTTTGTTTGATATTTGAATTAAAAATGTAATCAGAATGATACATTTCAAATTTCAAGTCTTACTGATGTTTCTATCAAAAGATACAGCCCCTCTGAAACGCTGCAATATTCATAGCAGTTTTCGACGAAAAAGACGTACACGCAGAGTTATGTTGTTTTGCTAAATTTAGCTAAACAGCTGTATCGTGTGATATGCAAGCGTACGCAAATGCGTAACTTGCAGATTGAGCCACGTTGTCTCCGCGATGAAAGTGTGTATAGCCGTTTGCACACACTATACGAGCAGATGTTACACAATGTAACCATTGTTTGGACTGAGCGGAGCTCACGCCTCCCTAATTTGCTGATTCAAAAAATGTGGGAAGGGTATTTTCAAACTGTTACGGCGAATGATCCCTTGGGGCTAGCGAAAAAAAAAGCACCTGGATATCATCCTTTACGTCTAGCCCTACTTAAGCTGCAGGGGCGCGGCTCAGGAAAGTGGCAAATTTTGGAGATTTGGTTGATTTTGGGTGAGGGCTACCAGCGTTTGCCGCATATTGTTTAAAGTTTTGCTAACTTCATTTGTTTAAAGTGTGGTATTTGGTGCGTTTAATCGACACTTTTTCACCCTAGAATCACGGTTTCTAAAGACGTTTAGTTTAAAACGCAATGCGTTCAAGCGATTTTTCGTCGGTCGTAAAAATAAACGTGTTTAGAAACACAAACATGAAACGCTGAAAAAAAGATGCGTTTTGTATCATGATTCTGCAGAATCACGGTTGCTAAAATTCGATTGAACGGGCGGAGTTTTCAATCATGATTGTATGACGGAGCCTGTTCCGGTTTGGACAAAAACCGCGCGCCTGCTTTTCATGCAATTTGCGTTTACTATACCATGCTCTTTATCGTGGCCTGTTCCGTTATGTTATTGTTTCTTCCTTCTATTCTTATGTTATTCTTTGTTTTTTTCCTTCTATCACCTTCCCTTATGTTATTCTTTATTTTTATAATTCTATCACTTTCTCTTTCTGTCTTTCCTTATGTTATTCTTTGTTTCTTCCTGTTATTCTTATGTTATTCTTTGTTTGTCCTTCTATCACCTTCTCTTATGTTATTCTTTGTTTCTTCCTTCTATTCTTATGTTAATCTTTGTTTTTTCCTTCACTCACATTCTCTTATGTTCTTCTTTGTTTTAATCATTCTATCACTTTCTCTTTCAGTCTTTCCTTATGTTATTCTTTGTTTCTTCCTTTTATTCTTATGTTATTCTTTGTTTTTCCTTCTATCACCTTCTCTTATGTTATTCTTTGTTTTTATAATTCTATCCCTTTCTCTTATGTTATTCTTTGTTTTAATCATTCTATCACTTTCTCTTTCTGTCTTTCCTTATGTTATTCTTTGTTTCTTCCTTGCATCACATTCTCTTTTTGTCTTTCATTATGTTATTCTTTGTTTTTATAATTATTCTATCACTTTCTCTTTTGTTATTCTTTGTTTCTTCTTTCTATTCTTATGTTATTCTTTGTTTTTTACTTCTATTACCTTTTCTTATGTAATTCTTTGTTTTAAGCATTCTATCACTTTCTCTTTCTGCCTTTCCTTATGTCATTCTTTGTTTCTACCTTATATCACCTTCTCTTACGTTATTCTTTGTTTTATTAACTCTATCACTTTCTCTTTTTGTCTTTCCTTATATTATTTTTTGTTTCTTCCTTCCATCACGTTCTCATTCTTTGTTTTATTATTGCGATCTATGCTCAAAACAGCAGTCGACAGTCGGCCGTAAACAATTCCAAAAAGCGTGCGCCGAAGTTGACCTATACTTCCTGGGTCAAACTGCGAGGGTGATGCGCAGTGGCTGGGCTCGAAATGAGCTAGAATCAGTGTTGATGAAAAATCGCTTGAACGCTAACCGCAATGACCTTGTTTTTTGTAACAGCGTTTTGATTTGTGATTCATGTTTGTGATTCTAGCTTCGAAAATTCGATTGAACGCACCCTTAGTTGGTGCTAGAATTTCTAGCACCCTTTATGACCACAAATTGAGAGTATTGTCTTTACCTTAGCTGTTGGTGAGGTGTCGTGATCCTTACCTTTTCACCATATTCTGAATCTTCTCCCCCTCTCCCCTCCTCCCCCTCCCCCTCCCCCTCCCTCCCTCCCTCCCCTCCCCCTTTTCCATCTCTCACTCTCCCTCTCCTTCCCCTTTCTCTTCCTTCCCCTTTCTCTTCCTTCCCCTTTCTCTCTCACTCTCTTTTCTCTCTCTCTCTCTCTCTCCCTTCCCCTACTCTCCTTCCTCTCTCTCCCTTCTCTCTCCCTTCTCTCTCACTCTCCCTCTCTATCTTGCTCTCTCTCTCTCTCTCTCTCCAGCCTCTCCTCCCCTTCCCCCTCTCTCACTCTCCCTCCTCTCTCTCTTACTCTCCCTCCTCTCTCTCTTACTCTCCCTCTCCTTCCTCCCCCTTGCTCACTCTCACTCACTCTTTTCTCTTTTCTCTCTTTATCCAGTACAGGCCATGCTGCAGAGGAAGAAACAGCTGAAGATTGCAGAAGAGAAGAAGATGAAGGTGGAGAAAGCTAAGGTCATTGAGGTCAAGGTCAACATGTGGATTGAGGAAAGAACAGCTAAGGAGCAGGAATCGAGAAAAGCCAACTGGAGGCTAGAGAAGACAGAAACAACTTGAAGCAGAAGAGAAGAGGGGAGTCCAGGAGAAAGCAAAGGTGAGTGTTAAAGGGGAAGTCCACCCTGATATTAAAGTTGAAATTCAAAGAAAATCCCAAATATGTCAACTAATGTATGACTAGAAACTGGTAATCTAACAGATGGCCATCGTACAAGTTATAGGTCAACTACAGATCGGGTGATTTATAAAAAATACAAATACAACCACCTCCATAGCAGCTGGGATATACCAGAGATTTGCCGGAAAAATAACGATGTTTTAATGACGTCACTATATGGACCAACATTGCCCAAGCAGACGACATCCCATAGAGAATGAACATAATTGCAAAGCTATTATTTGTCAAATTATAATGAGTTAAGTGTATATAAATGTAATGGCATGTCAAACCATTCAAAAGGGGATATGACCCGATTCTGATAACTAAAATATTTTGCTTGTAAATACACAGGATTGGGGTTAATTAACGATCAAAGAAACCAGACTTTCAAATTGAAAACCCCCTGGAATGATATTAAGGACGGCATTTGTTCCCTCTTGAAACGCCGAACATACTCCGATGTGTACAGCTGAATATACAATGGCGTCTTATTTTGTTTACAAGCGACAGATTCCTTTATTTTTGTATCGCTGCATTTGTCATCAAAATAAAACCATGCGCGGGGTTAAGAGTGAGGCAATAGATTATACATTTAGACTGACGGTAGTGAAGTAAGAGAAATGACTCAAGAAACGATGAAAACACAGGCACTGAAAATGTGTGAGATGTCATGGGGCATCGTCTGCTTGTGCAAGTCATGTCCATACTGTGATCTCACACATCTCAGTAGCGTTCGGAGAGCTCTTCCGGTGCTATGCCCATGCTGTATTTAAGCGTTTTGTAATTTATAATAATCGTTACTTCGAATATTTCCAAGCATTGAATTTTGATAACCTTGTAGAATCAAAGTTTCAACTTTGCAATAATTGAAATAAATTTATTTTTTAAAATCAATGAATATCAACTTTAAGTTGCTTTTAATAAAAGCAGGAAAATGAGAGAAACCGGTCAGTGAAAGTTTGAGCAAAAACCGACTAGAAATAAGAAAGTTATACATGTATATTTTCAAAGTTGTCATCATTGAAACACAAATTGGCAACACTGTGACATATCTTGCAAACTCCTCTCCAATTTTATAAACTTTCGTTTTCTTACTGATTGGTTAGGGGAAATATGATTCATACAGGGGTTGTATAAAAACATCTTTGAAATAATTGTATCCCCCGGCAGTATGCCGGTGGGGTACTTTGGATTCAGCAGCGTTACGCCGCCGCGTCATATTTTATTCTTGTGTGCGCTATAACTGCCACATTCCTTGACGGATTTCTTTCAAATTTTGTATGGAGGTGTATCGTGGTATAATCTACACACCTATAACTTTTGGTGATGCTGCCCCCAGTGTTCCGTCTGTTATAGGGTAAAAGGCCATATTTTATTCTTGTGTGCGCTCTTACTGCATCATTCCTTGACGGATTTCTTTCTAATTTTGTATGGAGGTGTATCTTGGTATAATCTACACACCTATAACTTTTGGTGATGCTACCCCCAGTGTTCCGTCTTCTATAGGTTAAAAGGCCATATTTTTTTGGATGGCTTGTGTGTGCTCTATAGGCCATATTTTTCAAGGGATTTTGTTCAAATTTTCAACAAAGATGTATCTTGGTATAATCTACAAGCATATAGATTTTGGTGATGCTGCCCCCAGTTTTCCGTCTTGTATAGGGTCAAGAGTTCATATTTTGGTGGGTGTCTAGTTTGCACTCTGCAGATCATATTTCATGATGGATTTCTTTCAAATTTTGTATAGAGAATTAGAAATGTATCTTGTTACCAATCCACACTTTTAGTGAAGCTGCCCTCATTGTTCCGTCTTTTATATGGTCAAAGGTCAAATATGTCTTCAATGCGCTCTAACTGCCACATTTCTTGACAGATTTCTTTCAAATGTTGTATGGAGGTGTGTCCTAGTACACTTGTACAATCATCTACACCTTTTTAGTGTTTGGTGATGTTTTGATGAGCTGCCCGAAAATGACGAGCTGGCAGTCGAGGACAACCAAATTACTTTTCTTTTAGGCCTAAGTTTTGTGTTAACTTGTTTAATTATCATTATCATGTGATTTTTGGAGAGTTTGCAAATGCAAATTTGATTGCTCCATATGTATAATTTTATTGTGGATAATGGGAGCGTGGGTTTGTGAAGTAAGTATAGAATAAGACCACTTCCCGTAGGCAATTTCTATGGCTAACAGGGCTCTCTTAACCCGTTCAGCTCGGCATTATTCAGCCTGATAGCCACCTCACAAACGAGATTAAAAATCAAACACGCCGTACCGTGAGACCGCTCAGCGCGCGCCACAATGCGTGTGCGTTCAAGCGGCCAGAGGCTTCGACTAACGGGAACCTAGCGCATGCGCAGATCATTTGCCAATCTGGTCTTGTCATGTCGAGAACACGTTGCACGGCCGTTCTCTGCTGTGCTCCAAGCCTCTCAGTTCTTTCAGCTCTTTCGTAGGGTTTTCTTCTTCGTAATCTTTTCTTCTTCTTCTTCGCCTCATTCTTATTTTGTTCTTCTTCTTTCTCTTTTTATTTAGATACTCAATTTTATGAGAAAAATACACAATTTATAAGAAATTAAGGATTTGAATGTAAATCTCTGTTGCATCATATTCATATGAAATAATTTACCAGCCTAAATTGACGGTTATATTATTATTTTGTCGGACATTATACTATAGCGAAAAGATATAGACATGATAAAATGAAACTAAAGAAGAATCCAGAATGGGGGAGGGTTGGGGTGAAAGGAGAGACAAAATAGAATAATAATAAATAAATACAGTACAGACTATACCGATGTGCCATTTGGAGAGCAAAATAATTAGTTTGTTTTATTTACTAATGTAAAGCGCTTTGAGCATGTTTATGCCATATACATATCAATATGTATGAATATATTGCCAAATTTTGACAATTGTAGTTTGTAAGTATATGTATTGACAAAGTATAAATACAAATAAAACCGACACAGAAATGTCTGCAAGTATTTGGGACCTATATAGAATGTGCGAAAAGAGCTTTGTCTTTGTCTTTGGCCCATGCATGTTCCCACAGCTGAGTTACGTAAGAGGAACAATGAACGTTGCTGAGGGTACGGGTCGTTGTCATGGCTATAAACTCTAAAGAGCGGAAGTAAGGTAAGGGTATAATTGAATAATTGGATGACAGATCTGAGATTATATTATCAAAAAATAAAAGAGAAGAGTATGAATTTACAAATAGTACCAAAAAATAGAAGAAAAAAATAAATAAAGTGAAAGGCGTAAATATTCTAAAAAAAGAATGAAACGCCGATAATACCAAACAACAACAACAACAACAATGAACTGACTTTGTACTCGTGTATAACCCTGCTTTATGTTGTTTTTGGGGAGGGAAGGGTCTTGTTGTTATTGCAGTTGTCGTTGCTGTTTTTTAATTTTTAAATGGGATCACGTTCCGACATTCTCATAAATAAAAATCATATAACGTAAAGCCAGACTTTACCCTATCTGAAACACTCATTTAAAGACAACAATCATGCACGATAAAGGAATGGACAAGAATATGTGATAAAGATAAAATGTCACAGACAAATAGATAATTATAAGAAATGATTGTTTCTCTCTCTCTTTCTCTCTGCTTATGTGTCTCTCTCTCTCCCTCTATCTCTCACTCGGTCGCTTTCTCTGTCTATCTGCCAATTTTGTTCCGCCGTTTGCTTGTATGCCGGCAACATTCCTTTTTTGAGATAGATTATTATAAAATAATGATGATGACAACACTTTATTATACCTTATATTTATTATAGCGAGCAAAGTGAAAAACGAGCGGCTGATAATGTCTAAATGCGAATAATTATATTTCCAAAGTAAAACTTTTGAATGAAAATCTCTGTTGCAACAAACTATATTGACTATACTATTATACGTCGGACATTATACTTTAGCGAAAAGATATCTATATGATAACAAAAAGGACAGACTAAAGGCGACAAAAATCGGAGCTGGGGTGGGGGGGGGGGGAGGATGATCGGAGAGACAAATATCATATAAATAAATACAGTACGGACTACGTCCAACTTTCTATCTCTCTCGCCCCCTTCCCCCTCCCCTTTCTCTCTCTCTCTCTCTCTCGCTCGTTCTCTCTTTCTCTTTCTATTTCCCCCTCCCTCTCTCTCTCTCTCTCTCTCTCCCTCTATATGTCTCTCTGTTTATCTGGCAATGTCGTTTTCCATCTTCATCTTTTTTTATTAAATGTTTTCTATTCCTCCGTTTGCTTGTATGCCGACATCATCTCTTCCTTGAGATTAATTATTATAACGTAATTATCCCTGATGATGTACACATTATACCTTATATTTATTATAGGAAACGAAATAGAGAACGAGCGGCTGATAATGTCGAAATGCGAAGAATATTACTGAACAATAATTATATTTCCAAAGTAAAACTTTTGAATGAAAATTTCTGTTGCATCAAATTTATTGATATAAAAAAAATGTTTAAAATGCTATATTTACAATACTATTATACGTCGGACATTATACTTCAGTGAAAAGATATCTATATGATGAAGAAAAAAAAGGGCAAACTAAAGGGTAAAAAAAAAAATCGGAGCTGGGGGGGGGGGGTGATCAGAGAGACAAATATTATATAAATAAATACAGTACGGACTACGTCCAACTTTCTATCTCTCCCGCCCCCTAGCTTTCCCCTCCCCTTTCTCTCTCTCTCTCTCTCTCTCCCTCGTTCTCTCTCTCTCTCTCTTCCCCCCCTCTCTCTCTGTCTTTCTGTCTATCTGGCAATGTCGTTTTCCATCTTCATCTTTTTTATAATGTTTTCTATTCCTCCATTTGCCTGTACGCCGGCAGCATCTCTTCCTTGAGATTAATTATTATAACGTAATTATCCCTGATGATGTACACATTATATCTTATATTTATTATAGGAAACGAA